ATGAGGCTGGCACCTCCCTGAGGAATTCACTCTGTTTTCATAGCTACTGTGGGAACGGAATTTTCAGTCTGGGAGGATTCCTGATAGAGGTTGTAGCTAATAAACATTGCTGAACAGAACTTGCATGGTCTCCTGGAGTTCCTCGGGCTAGGCCTGACACCAGCAGAAGCATGGGAGAAACACATTTTTTACACCTCTCCAACAATCTTTCAGACTTCTGTGTTGATCCCCCACCTTCAGGTACTAGAGAGGGAGCTGTGTGTGTGGCAGTCTTTGATGGCCAATAGGAGTATGTCCCTGTGCCCCAATTTCACCTTAATATAAGATGCTGTATGCTGGAGGATATTGGAAAATAGTAGTAGCAATTCTTCTGTCCAGTTGTGACCAAATATTGAAAGTAATTTAATATAGTATATCAACAAGCTGAAATACCTTGGGCCTCAGCTACAATAGGAGATTAGTAATTTGGTCTGCTTTCCATGGTTCATACAAGGATTTCTGAACTAATTTTCTTTGAAGTACATTATGTCATTCAAATTGTGGTGTTCTTTTTCTGGTTTAAATTATTCTGATGAGCTAATAATACCGAGAGAAACTGTTCTCTGATTCCACTGCCTGAGATATATTAAACTCCTTCACCTAGAATAAAAGCTAAGTAGTAAACAGGTAAAGAAAAAGTACTAAATAGTGTAAAATGAATATATCGCATAACACACTCAATTTTTATATACTTTTCAAAAACTAAAACATTATGCATTGTTATGTTCAGAGATTAAACAGAATCCCTATTTGGAAGGGGATTTATTTTGACTTTCTACAGATGAAGGAATTTAATACCGTTTGGGAAAAAAATTCTCTTGGTGCTTGACTGCGAAAGAAAAGAAATGACAGTGTTGTAGTTTTCAAGAAAGAAAGAATATTTTTATTATTATTTAGTCCCAAAGGGATATTATTCCATAAAACAAATTTGCAGCTGATTCTGCTGCCTTAGCTTTTATCGGCCTTTTAAAGGGTGTTGAACTCAGGAGATCACACAGTAAGAGTTACTAAAAAACAACTACCAACAACTCCTTAAAAAAAAAAATCAGTTGCAGTTGTAAGAGTTACTAAAATAGTAATAGTAAGAGTTACTACAAAAACTGTTTAAAGTAGGCTGTCACAACTGTCAGTTGTATGTGAACTGTTTTGTGTAAATTTATTTAAATAAATTTTACACATTTAACATGTTTCTCTAATGAGTTGTCTATTTTTTTTCCAAAAAGAGAGACATGCTGCAGGAAAAAATTGTATAAGACATTCACATACTTAGCTTGGTTGGTTCATTTAAAATACTTCTGGGCTTCTTTAAGGTGGCTTACAATAATGAAATCAGAATAAAACATTTACAAAACCAACAAAAACCAGTAATTAAAATACACATTTTCACTACTTAAAAGTATCTAATTTTAGAGAAATAAAATTAGACATCAGTTCCAAGCACTAAAGAGAAAGCTTGAATATATGAATATGTCTTTAGAGATTCCTTAAATCTGACTGTGATGGAGCTCAAAGAATGTCAGTTAGCAACATATTCCATATTTAGGTGAGACACTGAAGAACAGGGATTCTTACCAGCCCTCAAAGGGTGCAAAAGAAAAGGGGCCTATTCTTGACCTTAAAATAGGACAGATTGATGTGGAAGAAAGCAGTCCTTCAAGCAGCCTGACTCCAAAGCATTTGAGGCAAGACTGGGCAACCTCCAGCCCCATGAGTCTCCTTTGTTTTGACCCCTTCTGGTTATGGCTACTGAAAACTGACAGCAAAGTTTTTTACCACGGTGAGCTGGGAAAGGATGGAAGTGGAGTATACTTCCTAAAATAGGCATAACATAGCTTAGAATGAAATAAAAGCCTTGCCTACTAAAAAGTGGGTTTTTTTTCCCTCTGATTAAAGACTCAATTATGATCTATCCCTAACCTTGTCCTTCAGGCCTTCCACTGGTCACCCATTGCCACTGTCATTGAGTCTATCCATCTTGCTGCTGGTCATCCTCTTCTTCTCTTTCCTTCCACATTTCCCAGCATTACAGCCTTCTCCAGAAAGCTGGATCCTTGCATAATGTGTCTGAAATAAATAATTTGAGTGTGGTCATTTGTGCCTCGAGTGAAAACTCAGGGTTGATTTGTTTGATGATCCATTTGTTTGTTTTCTTGGATGTTCATAGGATTCTCTAGAGTGTTCTCCAAGACAAAGTTCAAAAGTGTCAATACTCTATCCTGCTTCTTAAAAGTCCAACTTTCGCTTCTATAGAGTGTCACAGGGAATAGCATTTTGTGCACTATTCTGATTTTTGTGGGTATAAGACATCATGGCATCTGAATACTTTATCCAAGGCCTTTAGTAGTTCGAAAGTACTACTATACTACTGTAAGTACTGGTCTATGGCGTTAAGAAATATGCTTGTATCTTTATTGTTGATGAATTTTGCCTTTTGGAATTAACTATCTACCACTTAAATATCTTCATTGTCAGTTCTAAGGATGGTTTGTGTACTTGCTGTCATTAGTGTGGTCTTCTTTAAATTTAATTTTAGTCCCATTTTTTTACTGTGTTCTTTGACTTTATTTTACTAAAGCTTACAGATCATTTGTATTTTCAGCTATCAGAGTATTGTCATCAGTATAGTGCAAGTTATTAATGTTTCTTCCTCCAGTTTTGAAACCACGCTCATCTACTTCCAATTCAGCTTCCCTTAATATATATTGAGCATATAGGTTGAATAAATAAGGGGAGAATGTACAGCCCTGTCTCATTCCTTTGCCAGCCTGGAGCCAGTCTGTTTCACCATACTCTGTCAATACAATGGTTTCCTGAGTTGTATATAGGTTTCTCATGAGGACAATGAAATGTTCTAGGATTCCCATTTTTCTATGCACATTCCACAGCTTGACATTACTGATACAATCAAAGGTCTTTCTATAATCAATGAAGCACATATCGACTTTTTTTTATATTCTTTGACTTTCTCAATTTTCCCGCATGCATCATCCAGCAGCAATAATATCTCATGTTCCTTGGCCTTTTCTAAACCATTTTGAACATCTGGCATCTCTTTTTCCATGTAGGGTTCTGTGTTTTCTTTGTAAAAATACAGGTGTGGCTTACCATTAGCTTCTCCCACACAGTATGAAATGATGCCTTTTCCATTGTCATTACAGGGATCATCCACCTCCAGCATCTTCCCCTATCACTGCTGCCCAATATAGGTCCCTGCTTGCTTTAGCTGGGCAGCTGGAATGACCTTCAAGCCTTGGGTGACCCTGCTGGGAATATATACTCTTGGCATGCACTCCTGACGTTCTTTGCTCATTCCTCCCAGGGATACACACACACTCCCTCCCCCCATCATAAAGAGGCAGCACACATAAAATACCGTAAAAACCAGCAAACTGCTTTTAACCAGAATTTTTCTGCCCTGGGATCCATTTGGTTGCCCTATCTGTTTATAAAGGGTTGTTTGAATCCTTTAATATAGCACAGAGATGGGCATTTTTTCCGCCTCCAGGAACTGCTGGTAGCATGGAGGTGTGACAATGTCACTAGAGGGAATAGGATAAAATCTCTTCTTTTGGAGGAGGGGGAGGAAGAGATATATTAGAAGTATGAATTAAACCTAGCAGAGGCTTCACAGATGTATTTGCATTTATTTCATTTTTTAAAAAGCCAAAAATGGTGTCACCAAACATTGCTTTTTTGCCACTGAATTTCATCATTGTGCCCTTGGGGCCATGAGTGTCTCAGCCCTGACTTACCAAAAATCTCATTCAGTCAAAAGCATCTGAGTTTTTGATCCAACATTATGTGTTGCTATCATCCATACCATTCGGTTCCAGAAGATATTGCAATCTGCAACAGCAGAGTTATGAGTGGAACAGAAGGTACTTATGGGTGGTTTGGGAGCACTTGTGAAAATTAAATGCTCCAACTTGTGCAAGAGGAAATGCTTTTGCTAACTTCATTGGCTATAGTCCAAAGTTATTAAGTGTTACAGAAGTTGCCATATTATTAAAATGTGAAGTAAAACATCTACCCAATAGGGCCCATCTTCCATAGATTTAAATTTGATATCTGGTGTGTTAACCTAAATAATAAAATAGTTAGATGAGCAACTGCTGCTTCTCAGTAGTCTCAGAGCAGTTTTTATTTTTGTCTTGCACTGACTGGGTAGAATACTATATTATTGTGGGGGCTAATGGGGCAGGGGTATTGGAAAGCTAGACTCAGTACATGGAGGGAGGGTTAAGTATGCCATGCTTGTGTAGACTCAGCAAAAACATTGGGTTTTCAGGCTGCTCCTCTTCCAGAGTATTTCAGCAAAGAGTTGGCTGGCATTTATATAGAAGTAAGCCTGTTGAACTAAGCAGGGTTTATTTCTGATTAAGCATTCCTAGAATAGTCACTAAAATTCTTGTAGAGCCTTTCTTCAGAATGTCAGACAAAAACCGATTATGCTAACATGCAACATTGTGTGTGTGTGTGTTTATTTTTATTTATTTATATTTCAAATTTAGATACCGCCCATCTCACAAAAAGGGACTCTGGGTGGTTCACAATAAAACAGCAATAAATATTAAAATACAGTAAAAACAATATAAATGTTTGAGTCAATTTTTGACTCCTGGTGACTGTCTGGACTAGTCCCTGCAGTTTTTTTGGCAAGGTTTTTTGGAAGTGCCATTGCTGTTCAGAAGTTGCCATTGCCTCCTTCCTAGAGCTGAGAGAGAGTGACTGGCCAGGTGGCATTGTGCCTAAGGGGAGACTAGAACTCATGATCTCCCTCTCTAGACTGGTGCCTAGTATTGATTTTTTGACTAGATATGTGTCTCAGACTTCATAAAGGTTGAAAGAACAAGCCGTAGATGGAATTCCTGGAACTCCCTATCACATGTCAGAGCCTGTGATGCCCCACAGTACATGAAACTGTTGCAGCTAACAAAACATGAAGGTGCATGACCTGAATGACTATACCAATTTAATTGCATACAATATAGGTGTTACTATAACGCCAGTACTGCAGCGATCGTAAATAGTTTTAAACATATTTAAAAGCAATGGGCTTACTCTCTGATTTGAACTTTGAGAACCAAGTAATAGAGAATTCGGGAGTTCTTGGCCTGGTGACAAAGCCCTTGCTCGTCCTGGCCAGTGTTCTAGTATCATCTGAGGTCCATGGAGAGTGGTTTGCAGGGTCCTTTTTGGATAAAACATCTAAGGTTTGTGCTGAACTTTATGCTGTCTTGGACAGTACCATATCTGAGTTACCTATAAACAAACACACACACACACACAGAGCTTTCTATCAAGTTCCACAAATTCATCTGTTTGGTCTAATTTATCTTCCTATATGTATCACTTACAATGGTTCTTTCCATTTCCCTTGCCACCTTGGTCTTTGCAATATTAATTTTCAGGTCAGTAGAACTATCTAACATTTGTAGCAAATAATTCAGGCTTTTGGCCAACAACATGGCATCAGCAGCAAAGAAATAACACATTTTATGTTCCCAACAAGCATACTTCTAAAATCACTGCAAGCATTTTTATACATTTAATCTGTAAATACATTTAACAGCCAAGGGGACATCACACATTCTTGTTACTTACTTTTGACATCACATTTAGTCAGATGAAAAACCATGCATATGAATTGAACTCAGAAAACAACTAGTGATCAGTGTAGCTGTTCCAATACAAGGGTACTAAGATGTATAAAGCCTTAAGCCTTTTGCATGTATACCACAGATAGACTTAATATCAATGGTTAAATAAAAGAAACACTGTAGTGTAAATTTGAGACACAACTCTTTATTTAAATGTAGTAAGTTTTTCTCCACCAGAGTTCAGTTTCTTAAGTTCTTCATTTCTGATACTTAATTATGTTAGTTAAAAGAAGCCAGTGAATTAAGCCCTACTGTGTCTAACTGAAGTGTTAATGTGTTTTCATTACTTTCATGATTTGTTTTTGTTTATAGATGTCAGCATTGTAATTGTCATCCTGCTGGAGCTATTAATTGGACTTGTCATCCCATTACTGGACAATGTATGTGTAAACAATTTGCAGCTGGCTCAAAATGTGACAACTGTGTTCCCAATGCTAGTAATTTGGATGTCCACAACCTATTTGGCTGCAGTAAAAGTGAGTGGTTATTGATTTGCATTTATTTCAGATGAATGGGTCTTATTAGTTTAATGATTGTTATAACAATATAATTATAATTCTTAACATTGATATTGCTCGTAATAAATGTATTAATTCCCCAATATTAATATATTTGGAGGTAGAGTTTGGAATTTGAGGTTCCAGATTGTATGTATGTAATCCATGTATGTATGTAATTCATGTATCCATGTATGTATGTAATCCATTTGTATGTAATCTATGACAGCATGGATTTGGGTATCAGTGAAAGGAAACATTTATAATGGTGAGTTAAATTGGAACCCTGAAGTTTGATTAAAAGTGCTCTGCTCATACTATCATTTCTATGCTAAGTTGAAATCTGTGCAAGCATACAGTAAAGGTTTTGCTGGAATTATTATAT